CAGAAATGTGAGGGGAAAAGAGAGAAATGTGAGAGGAAAAGAGAGAGAAATATGAAGGGAGAAAAATGGCGGGAATCGTGAGGGGAGAAGAGAGAGGGGAAAAGAGGGGAAAACGGGGGGAAATGTGAGGGGAGAAGAGAGAAATGTGAGGGGAAAAAGGGCAGGAAATATGAGTGGAACAAAGAGGGAAACGTGATGGGGAAAGGGGGGAAATGTGAGGGGAAAAAGGGGGAAAATGTGAAGGGAAAAGAGAGAGAAATGTGAGGGGAAAAGGGAGAGAAATGTGAGGGGAAAAAGGCCGGGAAATGTGAGGGGAAAAAGGGCAGGAAATGTGAGGGGAACAAAGAGGGAAACGTGAGGCGAAAAGAGCGGGAGAAAACACAGAAAATGCGAAGGAAAAAAGAAAACAAGTGAGGGGAAAAGGGTGGGAAAGGAGAGAGAAAAAAGGATGTGGAACATGGGGCAAAACTCCCAAAACAACTTAAGGACCTTGCACTCACATTTTACCCCAAAAATATTCTTTGCATCTCTTATAGATCACCTCAGGTTTTACCCCCACAATTGTCCTGACCTGTCCAAAAAAAAAAAATCACCTCAATTTTACCCCCAAAACGTCCCTTCCCAACAACCTCATTTTTACCTCAAAATCATTTTCTCCCCTCAAGATTACCTCGTTGGCTGTACTTGGGGAAAAAGTGATGAAAAACTCCAAGATCCCAGAGGGTTTTTTTTTTTTTTTCCAGCAATATTTTAATTACAGGACAAAGAAGCTGCTACGTGAATATATATTTATATAATAAATCCGTAAAGTTATAAAGGAAACCGGAATTTTCTGCTTCCCGTCAAAATTTTCCAGGATCAGGCGCTTTATTAGGTGGATTTCTCACAATTTTCCTCCTTGTTTCTCTTGATTTTTTATGTTTTTTCCACATTTCTCCTTATTTCTCTCTTTATTTTTGTCCTTACTCTTTATTTATCATTATTTTCCCATATTTTTCCGTATTCCTCCAGATTTCTCCATGATTTTCCTCATTCCTCTCCTAATTTTTCCACATTTTTCATTTCTCCTTATTTTTTTTCCTAATTTTCCATCTCTCCACACATTTTTCTCCACATTTTCCCTCCTAATTTTTGCCTCATTCCTTCCTCGCCTTTTTTCCCCTATCCCCCCCTATTTCCCCCCATTTTTTTTTGGTCCACAAAACGCTGCTCCGAGGTGGGAATGTGAGTGAAAAACCTAAAAAAAACCCCCCCAAAAACCCCGGATTTTTTTCCCCTCTGGAAAAAAGCCATAAATTACGTGAGAAGGGGGGAACAGTGAGGGGGCAGGGAACCCTCGGGCGGCGCCGCTGATCCCGTGGAAAATATTGGGAATTTTTCTCTCTCTCTCTCTGTGTCTCGTTACCAAAAATAACCATTTCCGGGCGCGGGGGGCGGAGCCCGAGGAAAAGTGGGAATTGCATCCCGAAATATCCCAAGATCAATCAACTGTTGCATAGTAGGAGGCGGGGGGGTCGGGGATCCGGGATCCTGGGGGGTCCTCGGGGATCCTGGGGGATCCTGGGGGATCCGGGAGGATCCTGGGGAACCCTCAGAGATCCAGGATCCTCAGGGATCCTCGGGGACCCTCGGGGAACCGGGACCATCAGGGATCCTCAGGGATCCTGGGGGACCCTCAGGGATCTGGGACCACCAGGGATCCAGGATCCTCAGGGATCCTCATGGATCCTGGGGGACCCTCAGGGATCTGGGACCATCAGGGATCCTCAGGGATCCTGGGGGACCCTCAGGGAAGTGGTCCCCAAATCCTGCCTTGGTCTTAATCCCCAAATCCCACCCTAGAATTCACAAATCTCACCTGATAATTCTGCTGTGTCCTTCCCAAACCCCCTGCCCCATTCCCAAACCCCCTGCCCCATTCCCAAACCCCCTGCCCCCCTCCCGAGCCCCCCAGGGCCGCCCCGGCCCCCGCCGTGCCCACCTTGTCCCCGGCCAGCACGCGGAAGCTGTTGATGACCTGCTCGGCCGTGTCCGTGTCCGTGGTTTCCCGGGACATGAAGTCGATGAAGGCCTGGAAGGTGACGCTGCCGCTGCCGTTGGGATCCACCACGGCCATGATCCGCTGGAACTCCGCGTCGCCCTGCGGGGGGAGGCACGCTCGGGGGTTCTGCTGCTTCCCCCAGGCCTTCCAGAGCTTTCCAGCCGGCAGTTCCGGAGCTTTTCCACGGTTCCCACCGCGATTCCCCTGCCCTGCCTCCTCCCCTTCCTCCCCCCACGGCGATGGGTGAAAAAAGGAGGAAATGGAAGGTGCAGAAGCAGGAAAAAAGAGGGAGGTTACCAGGCCGGATCCCGCGGGGCCCAGCAGCGCGCGGAAGTCGGCGGAGTCCGTGCGGCGCTTCGGCTGCCGGGAGGAAGAGGAGGAAGAGGAGAGGGAAAGGGAGGAGGAAGAGGGAGGAGGAAGAGAAAAGCAGAGAATCTGTTAGAGGAGAAAAACGGCCCAGGAAAGGATGGAGGGAAAGGGAGGAAGGAGAGGGAGGGAGAGAGGAAGAAAGGAAGGAGAGGAAGGAAGGAAGGAATCTCAGGAATCTGGGACCATCAGGGATCTGGGATCCTCAGGGATCCTGGGGGACCCTCAGGGATCCGGGATCCTGGGGGACCCTTGGTGATCCGGGACCGTCGGGGACCGTGGGGATCCAGGATCCTCGGGGATCCCGGGGGATCTGGGGGGCCCCGGGGGGCCGCTCAGAGGTCGCTCTCGCCGTACAGCGCCGTGGAGAAGGATTTGTAGTCCAGGGCGCCGGGGACGCCGTCGGGGCCGGGGTAGGGCGCCATGCGGGCGATGCAGTACTCGGCCTGCGCCGCCGGCAGCTCCCGCCGCAGCTCGGCCGCCGTGATGTAGTTCTGGGGGAC